TTATTCGAGTTAATTCAAGCAAGATTGATTAAAATTACATACACATAGATCTTGAATAAATTTTATGAGATTATTAGTGATATAGGTCAATGATATTTCGAACCCATTTCTTTCATATTTCTTCTAACCAGTTCCACCTTTAAATTCTTTCCAAACTTCTGAATTATTTCTAATTACATAATAATCTATGTACAGAATTAAAATTTTTCAAAGCGTGAAGATTTCTCCATTCTTCTTTTCTCGTTCTTGAATTTCCTAATCTTCTTTTTCGATCTTGAAACCGTGACAATGTCAATATTAAGGATACAACATTTCCAATGTAACCTGAAGGTAACCATTTCAATGTAAACCGAAGGTGTGGCCATTCGAGTTTCCACGACTTTAATGATCGTGGTTGCAGCCATATCGTGGCAATTCAACAATGTGGATGCAAACACGCATATACTGTGACTCATAGTCATTCCTTCTAATGTAACTAACTTCCATCGCGAGATTGGCCAAAGGGTTCCCTCTTGTATGTTCGAGCCTTCGTAGCTTCGAAAATGAATTGAACGGTAACTCTGCCTCGATGTTGCATCATTCATAATCGTTTAACCACCATGAAAACACCAAATACTCATATAAATCCATTATCCCTATAATTAAAGGAACAACTTTGAAGATGATTGTGCGAGGATATTACGTTTGTCAACATCAGTGATCAATTCTTCGTGTTATGCAATTCAAAGTAATCTCGATATATGTTAAAATTATTTAGATTGAAAAAAATAAGTTAGAATTTTTAAATATTTCTAGATTTTAATTTACAGAATATTTCTTCTTTTTTTTTCTCGATATAATTTAAAATTATTTAAATTGAAAACCATAAGTTAGAATTTTTCAATATTTCTAGATTTTAATTGACAGAATATTTCTTCTTTTTTTTTCTCGATATAATTTAAAATTATTTAAATTGAAAACCATAAGTTAGAATTTTTCAATATTTCTAGATTTTAATTGACAGAATATTTCTTCTTTTTTTTTCTCGATATAATTTAAAATTATTTAAATTGAAAACCATAAGTTAGAATTTTTCAATATTTCTAGATTTTAATTGACAGAATATTTCTTCTTTTTTTTTCTCGATATAATTTAAAATTATTTAAATTGAAAACCATAAGTTAGAATTTTTCAATATTTCTAGATTTTAATTGACAGAATATTTCTTCTTTTTTTTTCTCGATATAATTTAAAATTATTTAAATTGAAAACCATAAGTTAGAATTTTTCAATATTTCTAGATTTTAATTGACAGAATATTTCTTCTTTTTTTTTCTCGATATAATTTAAAATTATTTAAATTGAAAAAAATAAGTTAGAATTTTTAAATATTTCTAGATTTTAATTTACAGAATATTCCTTCTTTTTTTTTTTTATATAATCATATATATATTCTTCATTTTCTACATCTCGTTGTATTTTATTGTCTCTTTCATCTTTTATATTTTTTTCCTCCTCCATCTTCGTTCAAGATCGAATTACAACGAAATTACGAGAGTACAACAAAACATCGTTTTCCATAAACGGCGCCGCGAAACGCGTCGAGGAATCCCGACTTTTTAAACTTCACACTCCCCCCTCTTCCTAACAGGAAATTTTCTAGATGCCAGCAGGCAGTCCGTATGGCACTGGAATTAAGATTTATATCAGATTGTCAGCGCAGCTGCGATCCGTCGCGAGAAAATACTGGAGGATTCTACGATACGTGCGTTGTTTCTGGGGAATTTTTCGAGAAATTGAAATTCGAATTATCGAATCGAAGATTGGAGACTTCTTCTTCTCGTCTCTCCTTTCAAATTATCGTGAATCATCTCGTACGAATAAATTCGAACAAAAAATTATGTACTTGTTATCATTCCAATCTATCACATCATTTTTATAGTTTAAAAATTAAAATTTTATAGATCTTCAAAAAATTTGTTATGTCTTTTGAAAATATCTTAAATACATATATTTATGTATTTATATTCAAAAATTTTTTTTATAAATAAAATGTGAATTGAAAAATTTACAGCTGTTATATATTATTTACATTTATATAAAAAGAACGATTTAGATTATTAGATATTTATTTTGTGTATCAGAGTTCTATTTTGTAGAAGAAATTGAATTTGAAGTTTCTTAGGTCATTGACGATTAAAAATTGATGGAAATATTCTTGGATGCGAGCGATTCTTTTCACACGAACGAATGTGGGTCAACTCGTGCAACCTGTGTGCCTGCAAATTTAGAAATAGAAGTAAGATCACGATTTTTATCTGGAGAATTTTATATTGTTTTATATAAACGTTTCGAATTTTGAATTTTCGAACAAATTTTAGAAATTTAATTTGAAATGGAAGGAAAGTTGAGAGACTCGATCGGCGAAGCCTCTAAAAATATCAAGATCGATACACATTTTCGAAATTTAAAAACGTTTAAAACGTTGGAATAGTTGGAAACCAGCTTCTCTTAAATTTAATGGGAAACTTACTTCGAAATTAAAAGTTTGGATTTTCTTTAGATTTTAATAAAATGACATTAATCTTTCTCGATATAAAAGAAAGTTTGTAATTGATAAAAGAAACGACAGATGGTCCGAGAAATTGAATTAGTTTCGTCCGCAGATGGAAGCGTGGAAATAGGATTGTAATTTGTCTGATCAATCTTCTTTTTTCTTTTCGAAAATTATATCCATAAAAATAATAGAATTTTAAATTTTTCTCTCTGCTCTGCCGATGTTACGTTTCGAGACCGTAACCTCTCCGTTATATAATAAAACAGAGAAAAAACAAGAAGGAAAAGATCGATTGAAAAAAAAATAAACGTCGCATAAAGGAACCGTCATTTGTATTTTCTCGATCAAAGTTCTCGAACTTTACAAAAAATTAAAAGTAAACAAGCTTTTGATCGAACGTTTGGCCGCATGGAGACGTGATTAATCGATTAATTATTCAGCCTGATATCGTTTTAACAACCTCAACTTTAAAATTAATCCAAGAAACTTCTCCAATTTAAATAAAAACTTTCTTTCGTGATAAAAAGATACAAGCAAGCAGCAATAGATTAGATAATTTAATTCAAACTTTTGTCGAGTCACGTATGACACGAAAGAAAAAACTTATTTACTATTCGTTTTATTTATAAAACAATTTAATCAAAAAGTTTCAATCTAAGATATTTCAATAACGCGATGTCCGTTTTTTTTTTTAAAATAATGATAAAAATGCTTTTAACTTGTACCAAGGGAAAACAAATGAAACGCACGAACGAGTAACAAGAAATAAAAAAAAAAAATACAATACAAACGTTATTTATTTATCTAACAATCCACCGAAAATTTATGTTAACACATTTGCATCCACTGACGTGAATTTACGTCATTTCAAATGCTATTACTTGCCAGTGACGTAAATTTCAAATTTATGTCGCTTAATTTTTTAAACTCGCTCTCGTGTTTAAAAATTTGATATTTCCCCCCTCTTTTTTTCCTCTGCAAACTGGTGCAACTTGAAAAATGTTGTAATTAAATAACACGTCAAAACGTTTAAAAAAATATAACATAGTTTAAATGAAACAAAAGAAAAATGTGCCGCAAAATATCAGAAATTCATCCTTCTATTTTCGCATCACGTGCGTTTTTATCACCAAAAAAAAAAAAAAAAAAAAAAAAAATATATATCCAGATAATCTTTTCGATCGTTCTTTCTAATCATTGGTTGATGAAATGAACGAATCGAGAGGGGACTATCGTTCAATTTCTCCAGATGGATCTCGATGGAAATCGATGGCGAGGTTGACAAATAACCTAATTAATCGACCGAATTTAATTAACTTCGTACGCCAGTTCTGTGCACCATTCCAACTTATGATTCGGGTTCACGCAACTTGGCATGTTTCATCCTCTCCTCTCCTCTCCCCCCTCCCCTCCCATGCACGCTCTCGTCCGATTCCCCGATTCTCGCTCGAGCCCCGTTTCGAGCCTTCGAGCCAACCAGTCGAGCCCAATTTCTCCCTAATGAAAATTGACTTTCGGGAATTCGAGGGACGAGTCCCAGTTTTGACGCCACCCATCGAGTGGCCAAGCTTTTTCCCTCCATTTTACCCGTCCGAATTTTCGATTTTTTTTTTTTTTTTTT